TTTGTTTTTAACATGGTCAGGGGGGTTGCATGTCTCAGTGACCCTAAAAGCTAGACCAGCAGAAGTTTAGCCTTCAGGTGGGACACCCAAGTTGGTCAGGTGTTAAGGTAGAGACCTGACAAAGTGCAATCCAATTACATGACAAAAACAGTTATCCACAGCACCCAACCCTCACCCCTTTCCCTCCTCCACTGTCACCATGTGCCCCCTTCACATTTCTGTCTGCCATTGAATACCTCTTTTTCGTCATTGACCAATTGTGCAATTTTGCTGAACGTGATGTAGGCAGGCAGCGAGAGAGCCTGAAGGCAACAAATGAAATGACTGCAAACTGTACTGTGGAGTACCAGGACCTCATTAAGAAAAATATATATTACTCTTCATTCTGAGATTAAACTCAAAATACTTTTTTGAGAATAAAGTTGAATAATAGGTTAATAGAGTATTCGCTCCAAGTCAAACAACTGCTACAAAATGAACACACACATGAATTTCAGTGTGTGTGTTCTGGTGATTCTAATGCTAAATTCATGTAAACAATGTTGTGCAGCTGTCTGTTTACAGCCATTTAATGGTCAAATTAGTTGATCCAAAAATCACAGATACATGCATTTATTTCCTTTATTGCAATAAACATAGATAAATAAATGTATTTCTTGTGTTCAATAAAGATATTTGTATTCTAAGACACAGCTCCGGTTGTGTTTGCATGTCCACAGGTTTTGATACTTGATCACACCAAATCGATAATGTCCAAAGAAACTGGATTTTTAGTGGCATACAAGTATTTTTTAAAGAAGGGCCTCACGCAATACTAACATTCTTCATGCTTCCTCTGGATTGTGTTTTCCTCCTTCCTTCAGGCCAAGATGAGGTTCAAGTGGAGGCTGGAGCTGATGCAACTCTTGACTGCCAGGGTCCCACTGAAGGGACTATCACAGTGATAGCGTGGAACAAGAGGGGCATGCAAACAGATGGTTATGTCTTTTTCTACCGGGAAGATCGTCCTTACAAAGCCTACCAGCATCCATTGTTCCAAGGTCGAGTGGAGCTGGGAGATCCACAAATGAAAGGTGGAAATATGTCCATCATTCTGCACAACACCACCGTTAACGACACTGGGACATATGAGTGCCACATCTCATATCAGAGTGGCTCAGGACGTGACAAGAGAGTGACCCCTGAGATCATCAGTGAAACCAGCCTGAAGGTTGTTCCTGCAGGTGAGTCTGAAACCTCTTTACCTGTTTGTCTCTGGTTAAAGCAGAATTGGTGGGTTAAGTCAGACCTAAGGGTCCAACCATCCATCTTTTTCCACTTACTGATATTTTTACTGCAGGTATATCTGCTAATACAGAGTACTGATGATAAGCCTCACTGTGAGCAGGAAGCTGGGGATCTTTCTTTGTGCCGGACATCAGCCTCAACTTAAACAATGTTTTAAAAAGAATAGAAAAGAAAATACATCCAATAATATTCCAGACTTTGTAGAAAGCAGCTGGTCTGAGTGATGTGATCAGAGTGCAGTAGATAATGTCTGACAGCAGTTTGAAGAGGAAATGGATTCTGTTCTGTTCTTCACTCATCACCTACCTGACAGCTGACACCTCACACCTGTTTCTCACCTGCAGAGGCTGGAGGGAAGGAGGATGGAGGGAAGGAGGATGAAGGGAAGGAGGATGGATCTGTTGGACTCATCGTTGGTCTGCCACTTTCTACTGTGCTTGTTGCTGTTGTTGTTGTTGTTGTTGTTGTTGTTGTTTTGATCTACAGAAAACAACAACAACAACATAGTCAGCATTCATACCAGCCTCCTGTTGGACTGCAGCAAGTTTGAAACACTGCTGTTCCAGGCTTGATGTTTTTCACTTGGCATGGGTCAAGACATTATCTGACGATGTACAGAAATAAATGTTACTTCATATCGTTACCATAAAACATTTCTAGAATTTGAGAAGCTGACCAACAGGTGGCTGAAACAAGCACAAAACCAGAGTATAATTGCAGCATCATCCACTGCAATGGGCTCTAAAAATGTGGGAGCTTTGAGTTGCTGATAAACAGGTTCCTGGTGAAGAACCAGACTACGAGCAAAAACCAGAAATTGTTTCCTGTTTGTTCCCATGCTGCGTAAAACATTTAAGTCTGATCCACAGATTTCGTGGTGCTGAATGTGGGATTTCTCTTTCCTAAACTCAGAGCGTTACGAGCTGTTTGACACGACTGGTGTGTTGGTGGATCAAAGGATGTGAACTCTTATAAATGAACACGTTACCTCAAACAGTCCAAACAGTCTCACAGCACTTTATGAAACAGTCACAACTTCTAATTGTGGTTCATGTCCCTGAACACTAAATTAATATTTTCCCCTTTTAAAGAGTAAAAAGTCCACATCCTGATGTTGGAGGGGCTGAAACTGCTGGGTTGGGGTTGGATGGAGATGCCAGTTGGCATCAGAGTTTTTTAAAAAAAGAGTCTTTATTCTCACTAAAGAATTTGACAAACAGATGTGCTACACTCATGAAATACACGATTATGAAGTCATGCTGGCTGTGATGAAGTGAACATTTGTGTCATTGAACACAAACACTGTGACTGTTTCATATTTCCTGTGAGACTGGGCTGACTGTGTTTACACCACAGCGTTGTTTAGTGCTAAAGGCAGGATTCATTTTCTGCTTTAAATCTGTGCCCTGACTATTATCTGTGAAGTGTTTTTATACAGTGAACAAAGCTTTACATTTTCTAAGCTGATGATTTATTTTGTACATAATAACTGAATTTAATGTAACACTGGCATCAAATGACTCTTTCTGACTTTAGTTAACTATTTATTTTGTTTTATTTGTTTTACATTAGCACCAAGTAATGTTTGTTATTTTGCGTCAGTGTTGTGCTGCCAACTCCGAGTCCAAAGGGTCTGATGAAAATGCCGATTTTAAAATGTATATTTGAGTAATTTGTTTGTCACCTCTCCTCCAAACTGGACCTCATTCAAGGAACTGCCAAAACAGTCCAGTTCAGTTTCATGGAGGAAGGTGCCAAGTGTAAGGAGGTGAAGTTTGTCTGATTTTTTTTTTTTTTTAATTATGTGTTGATTTCATTTACAGAGCAGGTTCTCTTAAATATTATTTTCTCTGTTAACTTATTTCCGTTGTCTTTGATTGATACACTGATCACCTCATCGGTGTATCTTTTATCACATCTTCATCACTTCATCTCCAACTGGTCATGGCAGATGGCCCCCCCCCTCCCCGAGCCTGGTTCTTCTGGAGGTTTTTCCTTCCCACTGCCGCCAACTGCTTGCTTATAAGGGGTTGTTTGATTATTGGGGTTTTCTCTGTAATTTTTGTAAGATATTTACGTTAAAAATATTATAAAGCACCTTGAGGCAACGGCTGTTGTGATTTGATGCTATGTAAATAAAACTGAATTGAACTGAA